TTTTATTTGAAGAGCTTGTGTAATGGAAAGCAGGGGAAAAGCATCAATTTAAATATATTTGGAAGAAACAGATGCCAAGGTTAGAGGGGGATGACTTGGAAGGATGAGAAAATGGGAAAAAACGTAATTTGCATTTCTTAGCATGAAATCTGTTCTGTTGAGGAAATAATAAGGGGTGGAAGCACTGTCTTTTGAGACTGGACATAAAATTCCAAGTATTTTTTTATCCACCTCCTACTGTGTATTTGTAGCATCACAAGAAGGAAGGCCCTTCACCAATACCTGCACAGAGATTTTTCTTGTCCCAGGAAAATGCTCTATGAGGTGACGAACAAGAAAGAGTTGTTACAAGAGGTGTTTTGGCACTGCCTTCACCTGAGCCAGCTCTCCACCAAATATTTGAAGAATCAAGGAAAAGCATAAACTGAAATGCAGTTTCTATTCATTTATCATGTTCCAAAAATTAATAGTAAGTGACATTCTGCTGTGAAACAACACCAAACTCGAGTCCTTGGTCACCTTCATCTCCTCGCAGGGACTGTCCTGCCTTCCTCATTCTTCAGCCAAAGCCAGCCTTTGGTTTTGAGGGTTTGAGGGGATATTCCTGTGCCCTGCTGTCTTGTAGGAGGGAATTAAAGCATCATGGGCTCTTTGTATGGGGTTGTGAGTGACTTGTCTGAGAAGATTCATTTGAGCAGAGCTGGGAGGCAGAGCCAGGCGAGGCCCGCGGGCCTGGACACAATCAGCTCCTGTAAAAACAGCTCTGGTTGGAGGCCAGAGTGCTTCCATAGCAATTAGTGACCTGCAGGAAGGATTCAGGGGCTGCCTGGAACATGATATTCGCTGTCACCCAACTGCAGATGGGAGTGCTGCAGGGAGCAGAGGAAGCCAGGGTGGATTCCTTCCGAGCTCTGGTGCTCAGTGATGGGGTTGTGTCAGAGTCAGCATTCCTGGAAGTCAAACCCATGCTCTGTGAGCTCAGATTCTGGTTTGACACTTGTTCATCTGTGCCTTTGGGCCTCAGCTTTTTGTGAAATGTCAGCCAAAAAGCTGAGATTACTCTCCATGGTGTAGCTCACTTTGGTGAAGCACTTTATCCACAGTCAATATACCCTTGCACTGTTATTAACAATAAAAGTAATGAATTTACCGCAAGAAAAGCCCACGTGGGAGGAAGACATTTACTGGATTGCAATAGGGGCACTGTGTTTTTGTCGTTCCTGATGTCTGATGACCATTTTAGCCTCTTTCATGCTGCAGTAATGAGTTTGAATGGAATCCTAAAAGCATTAAGGTTGTGAAAGCCCTCCAAGATCATCAAATCCAACCATTGACCCAGCACTGCCAAGGCCACCACTAAACCATGTCCCCAAGTGCCATTACTAACAATTATCGTTCAGAGGGACACAGAGTTTAAACTGGATATTGAAATAACCACTTTTTAACAGCTATTTAAATGTTATAATGGCTTCTTCCTTTGACTGGAATTAAGAAAAATCATCCTCTAAGTGATCAGACATCATCAACAGCAGCCCTGTGCAGGAGTGTGCAGTATACACAGATCCACAATTTGAACTGGAATGTTCATGTTTCATGTTATGTGGATTTGCTGGAAGTCCAGTTTTAGCCAGAGGCAGCTGCAGCACTCATCCTTCCTGGTAACAGGGCCTATTTGTAGGAGTTTTTGCGTGGAGCTCCTCAGTGTTTTGACTGAGGTAAAGTCATGGTGCTTCCAGATGTGCTTCCATCTTTTCAATAGGGGCTTTAAAGCAGTTACTCTGTTGTGTTTAGGAAAAGAATCTATGGGTAGCCATATCTTACCTGTTGTTAAAATTGGGCTCCACATTTTGGTATGTTGAGTGTCTAGGTGGGTTTTCTTATTTTAAAATTAAACAGAATTTTGTTTTAATCTCCACAAATAAGTGGATGTTACATTCATTAGGAGCTGGAAAAGGCACGAGGGTGATTTTCCAAGAGCAGAGCAGCCTGGATTAAGCACACAGCATCAGTCTGGGTACCTGTAAAGCCTCACCAGCCTTTTGCCAGAGGACATTCAGTAAACTTCATGGATTTGGGTGGGATTTGGGTAAGGAAGACCTACAACCACCACAGCACCAAGCTCCCCTAACATGCTGCACTCCCTCCAAACAGCAGGACAGATGGATCACTCCTGAGAGGTGCCACATGTTTTGGAGGGAAGCCCCTGTGAGGGCATTCAGGAGAGGGGAGCACGTGTCGTCCTTTCTCCTGGAGAACAGTCGTTCCTGATACCACTGGGCTTTACCACCTGCCCCCTTTGCAGCTGCAGCATGTGCTTCCCTCTCCCACGCCCCATCCTCTGTCTGTCACGCAGGCAGGGCTGCCCCAACAGCTTATTCCTTGTTTTCTTGCCTTTGCTGTGCCTGCCAGGGCAGCTGCCGTCCTGCAGCCCCTTCCTGAAGTGCTGGGTGTGCTGAACAGAAGGCCTGGCTCTTCCCTGCTGGAGTGGTGGAGGATGTGCAGCACAGCTCCTTTCAGCTGGGGTACAATTCTCTTTTCTTGAGCCCCATCCCATGAATGTGCCTCTGTCTCGTGTGCCTCACCAGCAGCTTCTGCACAGCCCCACTCCGGCTGGCTCTGGTTGTTCAGTGCCTTATCCCTGATGCAATCTTTTCCTCCTATGGAAAGTGAGAATGAAATTGCCTAAATTAAGCAGTAGCCTTGAAGGATAAAGCTTCCTTTCTACTTTTAACTGGTTTTGTAACAAGCCTGCCATAACTGTGTTTGTCTCCTGTGTTTACTGGCATAGGAAAGAATGCGTGATTGGGATTTTATGGCACTTACAGCTTGATGTTTTTCCCATGAACTATTCAAATGAATCACTCTTGGATTTTTAGCACCTTCTTCCCACTGCTCTACGGGTTTGGGGGCAGTCAGAATGGAGAGGAAATACTCCCTTGAGCATGGAGTTTAAAACTTCATGATGTTAGAGGGCAGATTCTTGTCAGCACTGGCGCATCCCCATCTCAGCAGGTCCAAGATCCAGCCCTTTGGGTTAGGAGGGAGCACAGCTGTGAAGAAGGAAAACATGTGAGTCATGACCAGAGGGCTGTGGGAGCTGCAGTTCCCCCTTCCTCCAGCCCAGCCCTCTGCTCCTCAGAATATTCAACTTTGGGAGGACAAAAGCTTTCAGGTGCAATGCTCCACCCGTTTCTCAGGTGAAATACTCCATGCTTTCATTAAAGCTGTGGTCAGAGGATGTTCTCTTGGCGGTGAACAGCCTGACTTACAACTAATACTGATATTTGAGCATCCTGATTTGTGATTTGGTATGAAAAATGGTATAAATTGTGGAGGTGACAGTGAAGGCAGGGTTGGGATTTCACTTGGCTGATTTTTTCTGGTTTGATCATCATATGAGCTTGGAGAATTTGTGTGATTTCTTTGGACCTCCAAATATCTGCAAATCAAGAGCAGTATCTCGAGAGTGGCACTGGGAGGGTTCAGTGGCCCCCAGTGTGTGTAATAAACCTTCCTGCAGTCATTGCAGCCAGGAGAAACTCTGAAAGGCCAAATTCTGGCATTTGGGCTCTCAGCAGATCTGAGGCCTCATTGCCCCACGCACATAAAATCTCTACAGGGCTGTTTTCAAGCAGTCATTTTCAAACTTCAATGGTGAAGCCCTGATGAAATTAATTGTAGGTTTCTGTAGCTGTTGTTTTTGTAGAAGCACATGGAGGAGACATTTCAGGCATTACTGTAGTTAATCCTCCATGCTTCCCCTAATTTGTATAATCCCCATATTGCCCTTGGCACTTATGCAAACCTCCTGTAAAGCTGCTCTCTCTTTAGAAGCTCCACGAGCAAGCCAAAATAAAGTGTGTTGGTTGACAAGCAAGGCTTGAGGACCTAATCCTCGACTCTTCACATCACAAATGTTTATATGTATTAGGAACTTTTAAAGCAGCATAATTACCTTTGAGAGAATCAACATTCTTGTTCTTCCCTCCTTCCTTCCTAACACGACAGGACTTCAGCGGATCAAGGCTGCAGTAGAAAACCTTGGAGAGGGGCAATAAACCCTTGTGGCTTTGTTTTTCTTTAAGATAATACTCCTGGAGCTCTGTTTCATAGTGAAGACACAGCACTTCAATCCCTGAAGTCTTTAGGGGGTGGTTTCTAACTCAGGTTTGTCAAGCAGCCACATTGCTCCAGGGAGCTTTTCCACATTTTGAGGCAGAGCGACTCATTTGTCCAACAGGGTGTCCCCAAGCTACCACTTTGTTTTGGGAAGTGCCACCATCCAGCAGCAGTGGCCTTGGACAATAACCAGCTACTCCAGAGCTGTGGGTAAACATTCCTGAAATATTTAGGGAAAGCAGCAGGATGCTGCCAGAAGTTTTTGTGCTAATTGGTGTGAGCACGGTGCTTACCTTTGTCTAGGTCTGTTTTGTTGGACATCCATGAAAAATCATCTCAATCATCAGTTTCCTTATAAAACAAAGGAACTAAAATATATTGGGGAGTGTTAACTCAGGCTTTAGTAAGTTATCAAGGCACACAACATGCCACAATAAGCTGACTATCATTATGTTAAAGAGGGAGAATTCCCAACTTTTGGCCCTGCTACATGATGTCACAGTCTTCCTATGTGCCATCCTACACTGCTCACAGGTATCAGTGGAGGGGAGGAGCTTTCATAGGTTAATGCTGCCTTATCAAAGTCTACGTGGACGAGGTTTGATGCCATAAAACTATTCCCTCCTCTTCCTCCATTTGGTGGTGTTGGTTTAACTTCCCAGCCTGGATGGGATGGCCTGTGATAGTTCATTTGTGCAATGGGAGAGTTCAACATCTTAATGAAAGCTCAAGGTCTTCAGGCACTCAGGCTTAGGAAACGATTTAAAAACATTGCTGCTGGATGCATGTGGAATGGGAAAATGGATCAGCAAAGGAGGGTGGTTGTTTTTTAAGGGTTATTTATGGGCAAATCCTTTTGTGTCCCTCTTTGTTTTCCCTAGATTTCCTCAAGCAGACCACGTATGAAGTCGAGGCGTTCCTAGAAGCCATTCAGTTCTTCCGGCAGGAGAAAGGCCACTATGGGACGTGGGAAATGATAACTGGCAATGAAAAAGAGGTAAAAGAATATATTCCTGGGGTTTTTTTGCCTTTGAATATGGCAGCTCTGAGCACAGTGAAGATTGTAAAGCCCCTTGGGAAAAAATGGCATTTTTAAAAAGAAAACTCAGTAGGTAGAAATACCTGAGATTTTAAGATACTTCTAACTCACATGTAAGTGATAATTCTTTTCTAATAAGAACTTCTGAAACAGAGTCTTGCATAGTAACAGTCACACTTAAACACCAAAAATGTGTGTACTTCAGTTCTGCAGAAATGCTCTGCGTCCATATTTGGGCACCTGAGTGTGTGACTTTGAAGCACTGACAGTATCTGAGGTAACTCCACCAATCCCTCTGGCATCACTCCATGCCTCTTTTAGGGCAATTGAGATATTTGGGCCCTGATTTATAATTCTTTTTCCAAAGCACTGAGCACTCAGCAGCAACTGTTTATTTCAGTACCAGCTGCTGGGTGTTTTCCTTGATGAAATCAGGCTTCCCTTTGGGAGAGTGGAAAAAAACCCGAAGAGAGTGTTTTGTTTTAAGAAACCAGATTATTCTTTTAGGAGCAGCCTACCTCTGAAATGCTGAAAAGGGTGCAAACCAGAGAAAATTCTACAGTGTCCTTCCCAGTGCCATCATGTCAGGGACTGACGTTTCATGCTAGCATCTGATAATAAATTCCTCACTACAAGTTGTTCCATCCTTCCTGTGGAGGGAGTGAGAGTTTTCTCTTCTCCCCTCCTCCCTCCAGTTATGGAGCTATTATAGTGCTAGTTTCATTTCATGTTTTATTTTTGCTTTTGCTTGCCAACAACTTACTCATAACCCATATACCTCCAGAGAGCTGTAATCAGAAGACATCCAGCCTAGTTCCACTATTATCTCCCTGGTAATAACTCATTCTGTAAGTGTGGTGTGTTCTCATGCCTGCTTGGACCAAACACGCTAATTATTTTAGGCAAATATCCAATATCCAACCTAAGTGAGTGGTTTGGAACACAGCAGGCTGCAATTTGTTGCTGTAAAAATCCCTGCAGAATGCCAATAAATATATTTGCTGAATGTGAAGTGCTGCTGTGGCATAATCTGTAAGTACTTCAGTAAATGAAGCTATGGCAATAGTGCATTGCCTGTTGTAGGTATAGCAGAGGGATATCAGAGTCCACTGTGTGTTATATTTCTGTGGGGGCTATTCATGCTTTGTGTTGCACTGGCACACAGTCAGAGCCCATCCTTCTGCTGTCTGAGTTCCTGCCATTCCCCCGTGCTGGTGTTGGTGCCTCAAACCCGCTCCAGCAGCTGTAAAACACGAGGTTCAGCATCAGGAAGCTCTGACACGAGTGAAGGAGCAGTGACAGGATGAAAAGGGAAAGCTGGGAGGGTGTCTCTGCACTCTGTATTGGCTCAGCCAGCAGCTGGGAGCATCAGGGCCATGATCCTGAATGTGGCCCGTGCTGGGCTGTTGTTGAAGCAAGGAGAGCTGGGTTCAAATGCTCATCACTGAGCACAAACCCTGCTCAGGCTCCACTGGAGAGCCAGGAGGGCTGTGTACTCTCTCTGTGAGACTCCTCTGAAACCAGTGAGAAAGAATCACGGAATCACAGAATGGTTTGGGTTGGAAAGGGCCTTATAGCCCATCTCAACCCCTGCCTTCCACTAGCCCAGGTTGCTCCAAGCCCCGTCCAAGCCGGCCTTGGACACTTCCAGGGATGGGGCAGCCACGGCTTCTCTGGGCACATCCTTTACCCAGAGTGAGAAATGGACCCCACCTTCAGATGCATTCTGTTGGCCTTTTCCTGGGCTTGCTCTGTCTCTCTGTGATATGTTCCATCCCAGATGCTGGACTGTGCATTTGCCTTTGCTGAACTTTGTGAGGTTTTTGTCCACCCGTTTCTTCAACCCATCGAGGTCCCTCTGAATAGCAGCCTTGCTTGCCAGCCTGTGGACTACTCCCCAAATTGGTATCATCTGTATTGCCAGTCTGGTGTCTTTCCTTTCTGACTGGAACCATCTGCCAGACCGGACTGCCAGTTAGATGCTGGGATCAGAGAGGGTGATGGGTCTCTTCTGCAACCACTGAATCCAAAGTGAAAATGTGCTTGAGGGATAAAAGTGCTCAGTGTCAGTTTAGAAAATCAAAGAACGGGGCAGTGATACCTTTTCCTCAGTTTTCCTACGTTCCATCATGAACTCTTGGTGTGTAGAAGTCCCTTGGACTCTTTTCTTCCTCCTGCCTTTCTGTGGTGCACCTTTGTCACCAATACCTTCTTAGGTTATAGATTTCATATGGGTTTTGTTCAAAAATCTGGAGGTGTTGGGAGGAGATTTGAATGTATATGAATTCTACAGTGTGAAAGTTTGACTGGTTTTAGACCAGTATAGTTGTCTTTTAGTGACAAAAGAAGTTGCTTGGAAAATCTTTCACAAACTCCAAGAGCTATTTATTTCATCCCTTTTGCCTCAGGATTAGGTTGGAACTAATGAATCTTTTGGATCATATTACACATTTTTTGAAAACAGAAGTTAATTTAAAAAATCATGTAGAGTAGAATAATTTGATTCACAGATTACCCACATTATTGGGTTCCACTTCTGTCCTCTATCCTGTTTTTCTTGTGATCTCCTGCTTTTCTTGTTTAAGCTGGGCAGTTGGTGCTCACCCAGAAAAGTGCTGGAGATTCAAATTGGTTCAGTCATATCTTCCTTTTTTTGGCCAGTGATCTTCCTGTCAGAAATATTCTTTGTCTGATGACTCCTCAGCACAATTTCTCTCCCATGATATCTCCTCTGGGAGGGTGGGAGCATCCCAGAGCGAGGTCAGTTTGGGGGAGCAGTAGTCAGCAAACCAGCTTTTCAGTGTTTTTGATTAGATTTCTCCCTTGAAATGAATCATTTTAGCTCCATTGATTTGCACATGGCAATTCCATAATAGCATGCTGTGAACTCTAGCAGGCATCCTGGTTCATCTGCTGTCAGTCCTTGCCTGGTATCTTCAAGTCTTACAGTGAAAATTGCTTTGGATGAAATGCATGGAGCTCCCCTCAGGCTTTCCCAGTGTTTTAAATCCAGTCCTCCTGGTAGCCTGGGACAGCTCAGCCCCTGGATATTTGAGGTTGCCTGTGCACATCACTGTGATGCAGGTGCTCAGTTTTCTGGTGGAGAGCAGTGTGTGAACACGTCATTCTGACCTTACAGATCCTGAGCAACCTTGTGATGGAGGAACTCCTGCCTAACCTTCAGACAATGATCCTGCCTAAAATGAAGGGGAAGAGGAATGATAGGAAGCGGGCCTGGTTTGGTGTAAGTACTGAGACTTGCAGAGTAGCTGTTTCTCACAGCAGCTCCCTGTGGGTGCTGGTTCTGATCTCTGCTTCTTAATTTAATTTGGGTTTAGATCGTAGAAGAAACTTATGGCTTAGTCCAGCAGCAAGTGGCAGAAGGATTAAGTACCTTGAAAGAAGAATGCAGAGACTTTGCAAAAACTCTTGAAGGAACCATTCGTTCAGACATGGATCAGATTCTGAACTCCAAGAACTTCTTAGCTGGAAAAATCAAAGGTCAGTGAAGGAACAGCTGTGCTTTGGAGCAATTTTTTAAAGTTTCCCATTGTGTTGAATGACCAGATGTCATTGTTTTGAAATCCTCGTGTGTTTTGAAAAATCCAGCTGGAGACACCAATTTTCAGCCAACAAATGCTTTGAGCCTGCGCTGCCTCTGCTGGGAGCTGACACCTGTGGCTGCTGTGTCTGTGAAAACACCAGGTCCTGTCAGGCTGGAGCTGACAGGTTTTGAGTAGCCTGATCAGAGTTGTTCATTCTGCTTTCATTTTGACTTGCACAGCCTTAGGTAGTGAAGATACAGGTCACATGAGCATAATTAAAAGAGGAGTGGTTTTGACCTGATTTCTAGGAATGCACCACAAAGCCAGGTTCTGGTTATGTGACAAATTCATAGGCTACCAAAGAGCTCTTAAACCCAAGGGCTTCCTAGCTGGTTTTAAACTAATGTCAGGTAATCATAATTTTGCTGTGAATATACAAGTGAGTTTACAAAGCAGAGAAAACATTATTGGTGTTGCTTAAGCTGGCAAATAAATAAATAAATTCCTGGTAATTGATACCTAGAGCTGCCCTTTCCTCTGCTCTCACAGTGCCCCCAGCAGCTGCTGTTTAGGTGAGGCATGAGAAGAGAGGTTTCTTTGTCACTCATAAAACTGTGAGCTCTCCTTTCATCACCCGCAGCATCTTTGTGGGGGTGTAGCTCCAGGAAAAGCTACGGAACCATAGAATTCCTTGTGAAGTAGATCAGTTCCCATGACTTCGTCGCTGTATCTCTAAATGCAACCCTTATGCTGTGTGACCCTCCAGCCACTGTCTCTGAGCCTGCCCAGAAGTGCTGCACAGAGAACATCCAGCCGTTCCTCACCTCCATACTCGAGGAGCTCATGGGCCCCGTGAGTTCGGGATTCACGGAAGTCCGCTCGCTTTTTGATAAAGAAGTTAATGACATCATCCAGGACTTCCAGAAGACCAATGACATGACAAAGCTAAAGGAGGTAAGACAAAATATATTTGGAGCCTTTATATTAGAGCAAGGACCTCCTGGTTAGAACTTGGCTGAGAGCAGGATTTGCTTTCCCGGGTGGAAGTAAGTTAATGCTTGGGATTGTCATTTAGAAAGTCAAGTGGTATTTGTGCAACTAGAAGGTAGATTCCAGAATTTGGTTTAAGGCTAAATTGTTACATTCTCTGTTAAAAATTCACCTCTGGTTGCTTTCCCTGGAAACCTGTTCTTCCTGCACTGGAATGCAGAACGTGGATCAGCTTATGAAACTGCCCTTCAACTCCGTGAAGATGGAGCCCTGCTATGTGAAGGTGAACCTCCTCCAGGAGCTCCTGCAGGACCTCAAGAGTCGCTTCAAGGTCTATCACATTGATTTTGTGATTCAGAGGACACAGAACTTCATGCAAGAGGTACTGTAAGATCCAGCTTTTCCTCCCGGGAGAACAGATTAGGATTGTCCTGCTAATCTGCTTGGAAGTGATCTTGATAAAAGCTGTGCTCGAGTCCCAGAGACTCTCTCAGTCAAAGCAGAGAGAACAAAACCTGAGGAGATCACCTGGGTGCTGCTTGGGGTTTGTATTTGGGAGGTTGTGTGTTTGTGAGTCGTTCAGCAAGGCACAAAAATTTTGGATGGGTAATCTCTTCTCTGAACCTTCATGGTCTGAATTCCCAGTGTCTCAGCACCCAGCAAAGTTGTGCTTATAACCAATGGGGTGACTAAAATCTACCTGATTCCCATTCCCAAGAGGGAAGGATTTTTCAGGAAGGGTCTTAAATATATTTTACCAAAATGGAATGTCTCCTTTTTGGTAGTTTATTTTCTCATTTATATTAAAAAAAGGCATTTTAATGTTAGAAACTGGTAATTACTTGGAGACAGATGATGTCTAAGGATGTAGGTACTTTATCCAGCTTCAGTTTTCAGGGGATTGGGGGAAGTGCTGACATCATTTCAGGTGAAAAATGAGCTCCACCTTTTTGTCCCCTCTTGTGTGTATTGGTATAGACTGTAATTAGGCCTGGCTTTCATTCCTTCTGGATGCCTGGCCAGAAGTCTCTTAGGAGCTGGCCAGCAGACTTATTTCACTTGCCAGATCACAAGGCACACTTGCCCTTGTAGCTCTAAATCGAATCCTGTGATTTTAATCCGTGGCTGGGAAACTAAATAATCTAGTCAGGAATCTTGTGAAGTGGAGCTGGTCCAGATCTATGGAGTGGGAGTTATGAATATGGAAAACGAGTGTCTAGCACAGTGCTGGGACAGGGTTTTCCTAAAAGCAGCGTTTCTATGTACAGCCATGACCAGCAGCCAAAGAATTATTCAAAAATCAAATTCTGATCTCATGTCTGGGTCTTTCAGGGAGACCATTCAAAAAAGCTGCCAAATAAAGTGTCTTTCAGTAAGTGAAGACCATGAGTTAAGAGAAAGAATTAGACAGAAAATAAATCCCATAAAACCAAGCAGCGTTTTTTTTTTTCTAAACAGTGCATGAGTCAAAATAACGAGAAATGAGTTCAATCATAGCACGAGTTGTTCTAAAAATGCTGTTATTGCATCTCCCGCTTTAAAAGTCTGGTGTTTTCCTCATAAAAATAGTGAGTAGTTTCCCTTTGTGTCCATGGACAGTTCTTTTATTAATGAGTAAAATCAGACATGTCTGTGTTCGTGTTGTCTTAATTAAAAGGAGCATTTGGCTTAGCCCTGACTCGGGCAGAGGTGGAGCAGCATTCCTTGCCTTGGGAACTTGGCATCCTCTAGTGGCCAGTTCTAGGAAATTTGGGAGCACAGTGCTCAACTGGCATGAATGGACAGCCCCCGTGGGCTTCTCCAATCAGAACATATTAAAATTTGAACGGAAACAGCTAAAAAAAGGCAAAACCTCATTAGACACAATTAACACCTGCAGGACTGTTTGTCTGAAGGATATTTTCAGAGCAGGGGTTTAATGTTTTTAATGAATCTTTGGATAACCTGAAAATATGGTAAATACCAGCTCAACATAATTCTGTGAGAAATGATTGCACTCTGTGTGATTTTTGCTGATTATTATTGGTATTCTAAGGGTAGCTAATTATTAATTACCTTAAAAATATCTGCCGTATTATTATTATTTATTAATGATTAATGGTAGAAGTCAATGGGAGTCTTCTTATTAGGGGTAGTAAGTTTTGTCTGTGGTCTTTATATATAGATAATCAATTCTACTTTTTAGTTTTGTCACCGTCGCTTTGGGTGGTGACATGAGATCAAATCTATGCAAGAAAGCTGTGACAGCATGACAGTGATACCAAGGCTTAATTTTCTTTATTTATTGCAGCATTTTCAGTGCATGTTGCCCTTCAGAGAACTGAAATGCAGCAGAAAATTTCTGGACAATATAAATTAATCCACTCTGAGTATGTTTGCTGATAGAACTGTTCAGTTACATGAGCAGACTTGTCGTATTGACCTGCTGTAAACTCCAGATAGACATTGAGGGAGTTACATTTTTGTATTCTCTTGCATTAGATAATCTTCTTTTTGGTTTCCCATTCCAAAACTGAGTGTTGCAATCTAAACGAGGCTCTTCTACCCCTTCCACAGTCATTTAAAGTACCTGAAATATTTGTCGATCTTAGGCCCTTTATTCTTTCTCTGTTTCACCTTTTCAAAAACACAAATTAACAGTTACATTTATCATGTTTGCATGTTACCGGTCTTATTAACAGATCTTTTAAATGGTTCTTTTCAGCTGATGGAAAATGCAGTTTATACTTTTGAGCAGCTCTTCTCTCCAAGTCACCAGGCAGACTCGGCCAAAGTGGCAACAACCATTGAAAAAGTCAAGCTGAGGGTGCTGAAGGTAAACTTTGTGTAGCACTTCTGGACAGGAAGTCCTTGGGTTCTGCCTTTTTAGGAAAAGGGAATATATTTTATATGAATTTATCTCTGTATTTGAAAGGAGATATCTCCTACCAGCCAGCTGGAAATACTAATTCAGTGGCATGTGGCAAACTGCTCCTTTGAGGGGTAAAACCTAGTTCTGGGCAGACCATTTTAAAAGTACTTGCATGTGCAGTCCCTTTAATTGCAATTAAATCAGATTATGATGATGCCGTGAATCTGGATATAAATTTTTAATTAACTATATAATTAGCCTGCCCCTAGAATTCGTTCCTCTCGGAAGAGGCAGTGCTGAAATACCCGGGGAGGGCAATCAGGGGCTGTTTCTAGCCTAAGTATAAAAAAACAAGAATGGAAAGAGATGCCAGAAATCTAGATTTTAGAGTGGTTTTGCAAAAGCTGGAATAACCTGCGTGGCAGTTCAAAGCCCTGAGTGCACCTCTGCTGCACCAGTGACAGGATTACAAGAACCAGTTCCTCGCGTGAGTGATTAATAACCCCAAGCTCGTCTGGGCTTGTTTCTGTTCTGTGTTCTGACAGCAATATGACTATGACAGCAGCACCATCAGGAAGAAGATATTCCAAGAAGCACTGGTACAGATTACCCTGCCCACAATGCAGAAGAGCCTGGCTTCAACATGCAAACCAGTAGGTTTCTGGGATTAAAAATACCCAACCCCGATAATAAAAGGCGGGGAAGGAATAATGCCTTGTCAGCAAGTCCTTAACACTGTAGCTGTTTTCTCCCAGAGGGCTGTGCAGGTTGGCTGCCTGCTTGGCCAAACAGGCTTAGATTTGCCAGTTCATGGATTGGGTGGGTGTGGGGCATAAGGAAGATTTCAGGAAACAGGGAAACAGTAGGTACAGCTTGCTTGCTCAAAGGTAGTGTCCATCCTTTTCCCATCCCTGGTTCCTTTCTTCTCTGGAGATCTGAAGTCCCCTAGATGGGACTCCTCTGGGCAGTTGGGATGTAGGTGACGAGCTGGTCCTTGTGTTCATTCCTCTTCAGCAGCACCCCAAGGCACAGCTGGGAACATGCACAGCCTCTGCCAGCGACCTCCTTCAGCACCCAAGGCCTCCTGGGGCAGCAGGAGCGGCAGGAGCCAGGCCATGCCCTTGCTGTCAGTGATTTTAAATGGAAGTATTGAGTCAACAAACAAGAAATAATCACACAGAGATGATCTCTGTTGCCCTGAATCATACAGGCCATGTTAGCAGTCAGCAGATGTGGCTGTCAGAGTTTTGTTGAGATGGTAGATGTTATCAGTGTGGCAGCATCAGGGGCCTGTTGGAATGCTGTTCACCTTGGCTCAGAATAAATAGTCTGAACCCTCTGGAAGCCTGTGGGTGACCTCCTGCATTGTCACTGTACCTGCCCAAGCCATCCCAGCCTCCCTGCCCTTCTGTTTCCATTGATGTCCATCCATTCCTGGATGCTGGGAGCTCTCACCAATGGTGTGCTGCTCTTGTTTCTGCTCTCCAGCTTGTTTCAGTTTCCAATCCAAGTTTAAAAACAAATGTTGTGCCAAGTTATGCTTACGGGTCTTTAAACTATGGAATACTAAAACTTGAAACTTCCAAGAATATATTTTAAACCAATCTTTTCTGTATGTCCCTCTACTTTCCGTAGTATCCCCAAAGTAATTGTTTCTTGTAGAGCATCAGCAGTGCCTTTGTGACAGGGTGTCTACACACAGGAACAAGCATTTCATCACCTGCAATATCTGTGGAGACAGCTCATGTCTCTGTCCTACAGGACAGAGGGAGCTGTGGTGGTGCAAACTTCCCACAAGCCCTGTCTGTTTGATTTCCCACAAGCCTTTTGTGTTTGTGCCTCTGCAGAAATGAGCAGCCAGCTCTGGAAGCAAAAGTGCAGCACAGTTGACAGGCACAGCCAAGTTTTGACCTTTCCCTTGAAAATCTCCCGGAGTTTTTATTTAGGTGCCTCTTCTGGAAGGTCACCTAATTTACTTTTTATAGACCACCAAGCAGCTGCTTAATAACAATGATTCACTTATTGTCTAGACAGCCTTTGTATATAAATCACTGAGTAAAAGTGTTACACACCTGTTAGAAAAACAACCCCAAACCCTGTATCTCCCGTGCACCATGGATTTGCCTCCTTGGACAAACAAGTTAGTGAGGCATTTCCTTCCCAGCTGTTTATTTCAGGTGGCAGTGATCTGTAGTGCTTTTAATGGGGTTATACTGCAGGAATACTGTTTGATTAGCACATAATAGATTGAGGACATAGGTAGTTTTTTAGTCATAGTTCACATGGAGCACTGCAAGACCTGCTGGATGGATCTCCAAGGTGTTTGGTTGCCGTAGGACTCTGAGAATCCCTGGGGTTTCTATATCTGTTCTTTTCTTTTCCACCTGCACAGGAGCTGCAGAAATACGAGCAGTACATTTTTGCTGATTACACGAGTGTGATCCAAGTAGAGAATGTGTATGAAGAGATTTTATATCAGACACTGCTTGAAGAGGCCCTGAAAGGTGAGAACAGTCTTGAGGTGACAGCAATGACATTGCAGCCCATGAGCTCTTCCTTCAGAGCTTCCCAGAGTCCTCCCCTGGTAGACCCAGGCCTCACTTTCCCCAAGACACCACAGGGTGTTTTTATTTAGCTCACTAAATATCTGTGGCAAGCCCTAAAATCTGAGTTATGGGGCAACTTTACTAAACCTGGGAAACTCGAAGTGATAGCTTGGCACAAGCCTTTTTCTAACAAAATGTAATTGTGCCAGCTTCATTTGATCTTGATTCTCTGGGCCAAAGGGGGAAATGATGCCCTTATTTGCAAAGACTTGGTGATGACTAAATGGCAAGACTTTGCCATATGCAAGACTAAGACAATTACAAAGATTAATGGCAACAAAACTTAATTTCCCCGAATGAAATGAGCTGCTGGCTGCAGTTTGCAGTACCTCACTGATGCCAGTGCAGTACCCTCTGCTTTTGTGTCAGAAAACTAAGCTACTCTTAATAAATATTATATATAGAAATATAAATACTTACAAAATACTTGTATCTCTCTGGAGCTGCCTTCTGTCTATACCCTGTATAAAAGACAAGCAGATGTATTGCACAGTAGGTTTTCATAGACCCTTGTTATCACTCCTGTTCAAAAATATCAGTATAATAATTAATGTAACAAGGGCACTTTTATTCACATATTCAGTGTAACTGCTTCTGCACTGAAGCATTACCTTTGTACATTGTGGGTCCTCTGGTAGTTTTCTGTTTCAGAAATGCTTAGGTCAGTATTGAAGTGCCATTAATGAACACAGATAAAATCACCACCCCCAGAAAAGAAGTTGAAAATTAAAATTACTGTTGTCTGTAATATCAAAATGGACAACATAAACTCAGGAAAACGCTGTACCTTCTTCCATGTCCCTCTGTGACTCTTTCCAAAACAGTTTGTCTTTCTGTTTTATTTAGTGATAAAAGAAGCTGCCATTCTGAAGAAGCACAACCTCTTTGAAGACCACCTGAATTTGCCCTGCGAGAGCGTGTCCAGCCTGGCGGAGCTGAAGACCCCTTCGGGCTCAGCACAGACCACCCCCGCCAAGAAACCTTCGGCCGCCCGAGCCGAGGTGTCGGACACGGAGAGCCAGGGGGACGAAACGCTCGTTGTGACGGGAAAAATTGCTTGGGAGAAGGATGCTGAGGAAGGAAAGTCATCGGACAAAGAGGCCTCTGGTAACGCAGCTGGTGATCACAGCAAAAGTGAAGCAGTGGTTGTTACAGACATCGGTGAGAAACGGGAGTCCCCTCCAGCTGCCCACACAAAACGGGGAGTTGCAGAGGGGAAAAGCGCTGTGGAGAATGAACCAGAGTGTGTGATGAACGCTGAGAGAGAACTGCAGACGCCACAAGAAGCTGTGGAGGAAAAAGTAGCTTCTGGGACTGACACTGCAGTGAAAAATATTTGCTCCAGCCCTAAAAAAGAACCTAAGGCACCTGAAGGAGCAGCGGAGGAAAAGGCAACTTCAGAGAGTCGAATGGCAATGCATGCTGCATTTGTCAGTGCCACTGAAAAAGAAAGCAAAGCACAGGAAGACGTTTCTGAGATAAAGCTGACTTCCCCACTTGAGAGTGTAACGGAAGCAGAGGTTTCAGGGAATGCTGAAAAGAAAACCGAGGTAGAAAAAGAAATGATGGGAAAATTATCTCAGCGTGAAAATGCAGTAGGAACAGGGTTTGAAGAGGATGGTAAAAAAGAAAGCAGGGAGCAAGGAGCGAGTACAGAGAAAAGAGTTGTTTCCCAGCGTGGAAGCACAGGGAAAGGAGAGTTTGGGGATAGTCCTGGAAAAGAAAGCAGGTTGGAAAAGAAGAGTTGTAAATCCCCTGATGATGTGAACGAGATAAGGAGTTTGCTGATGGTGGCAGTTGAGATACCAGCAGATGCTCCAGAGGAGAACGTAAAGGAGATGTGTGAGGGGGAGCTAATGAAGTTGCAAGAGGACAATGGAGGGAACAGTGAATTGAGCAAAGTGGCTGTGGCAGAAATTCAGGTGAGCCAGACGATGAGGAGTGAAGATGCAGCAGAATGTGTGGAACTCAAAGAGGAGAGACCGTCCTCATGTTTGGGGACAGATGGTACGAGTCTAGGGAGTGTGTCCAGGGGTGCACAAGCAGAGTGGCTGGTGGAAAGCTCGGACCTGCCTCAGGAGGCAAAGGCAGAGGTGGAGATGAAGCAAAGTGTGTGGTACACGGGTGTGGGAAGCTGTGGAAGTGAGAGGTTGCAGCCAGAGGAACACACAGGAAATGTGTCAGAAGACAGAAGGTTGGCTGGGCAGGAAGGAGGAGCAGGGAATAGCCACACCATCCCGGTGGAGGTGGGGTCACAGAGCTCCTCTCAGAGGGCTGCTGAACATGCAGACACCACACAAGTGCCTATTTTGGATACAGAGAACCCAGGAACAGCACTGCTGGAGGCAGTCTCTTTGATGCCACAGCAGCACGAGGTTAACGCTGCGTTAAAGGTCACAGGAGATAAAGAGGCTGGTGGGGGCGAGGGGGAGCCAGGAGATGAATCATCTTCACACACGGAAATCAAAGGCACAGAAGTAAAAGATATTCTCAGAGAAGAAAACAGAGAAGATACTTGTGTACAGCAAAACTCGGAAGAGTAGGAAGTGTTTTTCAGCCCGGCCCTGCAGGATTTATTTACTCCAGTAATCCTCGTGTAATTGTGAATACTCCTTTGGGTTGGGGCTAGAGGAAATGGGCTTTGTTGGGGGATCGCCAGCTCTTCCAGGTTTCCCACAGATCTCTTCCTGAGTGATAGGTGATGGGCTTCTTTTTGGTTTAAAACCAGGTTACTGCTGAGAAACCTCATCTTTCACTTAAAATTTGCTCCCTTTTATGGTTAGAAAAAAAGTCTGAAAATGTGACCACTGAATGCTTCAAAAGCAAATCACTCCCAACTATTATCAATTTATTTTAACAACTTCACTGTTCGTAGTGTTGCTCATGATTTTTCAGTGCATGGATTTGACAAGTACTGCTCTGATCCTGGTGGTTGGTACATAGATACTCGAAGGTGCTTTTAGTATTTGCATGCAGTGTACAGGAAATAAATCAATCTTTTAGTAGTTAAACAGAACCCAGTGGTTAATTTAGTAGGTTGGTCAAAAGCCACACTCTAAGCAAACTCTGCAAACTGATTACTTAATTATTTTCAAGTTTTGGTAGATGTTAAAGACAAGCAAATGTTCTGATTTTTTATTTTTTTTCTCTTACTGCTATATTTAAAATGGGGAAAGTATGGGAGCAGGTTTCTCAGTCCCACTGTGCACTTCTGGGTTATTTAGCCTTCCAGAGCACTTTACAGCTATTTTATTTTGTTTTATTTTATGGAAGGGAGAGATGAGAATGTTTACAATAACTATAACCATTGGCAGCATCTCTCTGGTTTCATTCCCACCATAAAATAGATTCACTTACAGCTATCTAATACAGAACACTGAGTCCTGCCATGCCCATTCCTACTGAGTTACCCAGTTCTGTAGGCATTTTTAGGTGTGGAAATCACATAATTAAGTCGCAATAATTGTGAAATATCATAATCATTGCATATAATTTCTAATAGAGATGTTAACTGAAGTGAAAAGCAGCCAAAGGTTATTACATGTGCTTAGATTTTGGAGAGCAGAATAACATTAAAAAAGCAGTTATTAAAATGAGACAGTTGTTTTCCTACATATCAAACCATGATCTAGGCATGGATTTGCTTAGATGTGTTATTTACATTTAAGTTTATGGACTGTGCACAGAAAAGCTTGGAAATGAAACCCAGTATTTTAATAAATTGGGCTTTAGAGTGCAAGACCTCACTTTAGAGGTCAGTTTAAGGCACCTTAAAATTTTGGCCCTGTGTTTCAGACTGTTTCTGAATATCATACATTACAGGACAGCAAAGATTAATGATAAATACAGTAAAGGACTGCAGGGTTTATGCCCATAAAGACATGGGAAGAAATAACAAAGTCCCGGGAGCATAATACATGTTGGCATTTACCTTCAACAAACTGCAAAGCCTTTTAATGCTATCAGAATATTCTTTAATACTAACAGAATTGACACTAGAGGAACAGGCAAACATTGCTGTGTGAGAAAGGAACATTGTTGAGTAACTAGACTAACTGCTCTGTCACTATTGTAAAATAAATGCAATTCTTATTTATTCCAGAAGCCATACTGTGGTATGGAAACATGAAGGTCACAGATGTTTTCTTTGCAGAAGGATTTTGACTTGTTTCCTCCCTATATTTCATGCAAAAATACTAATTTGTAAGCACACAAACCACTGCCAGCCAATTTTTTTTTAACAAATCATTACTTACTTCACTGTCAGCTGGTTTGTTTTTACAAATCATTAACTATTTTTAATTGGTACTGAGTGCTAAGCGACTTCAAATTTATACCATGTGCTATACATTTAAGCAGGAGCGGCCTCTTTTAGCTAAAATCAGGGGACATGATGGGTTTTTAATGCTCTTTTTGTGAAGAAGACAAGTAACATGATGGTAAAAAAGACTGCAGTGTCCTGCAAAAGGAAACTAATTCATTCTAATATGAATTAGATACATCTGTACAGAGAGTATTCAGAATAAATATTCCCATCATGATAATTTTTGAGTTATTTCTGTGGCAGGCTTAGATCTGGGCAGTATTTTCCTGTAACATGAATTGAGTTGCTGAAAGCAGGTGCTCGGAGGTTTTTCACAAGTAGGACAGGAAAGGACAGGGAAGATTTAGCCCGCACATTGCCTGGTTCTGCGATTTAAATTGGAGTTCCTCATGGCTAGGGGACTGGTTTTTTCCCTTTTTGGACATTTTCTGTCCATTTGCAAATGGATAAAGTAGCATTTCCTTGTCTTTACCAGAGGCAACAGCCATTTCAAGCTCAGAAATCTGCAAGGTTGCCTCGGACCGCTGATCAAAAATGATAATAACCCACCCATTCCGTCATTTTTTGTAGCTTTCTTTAAATTTCCTACACATACCCGGAATGAATTTTTTCCCTCGCACACTGGGAGCAGTAAAAAATCGCCTCCCAGGGCAGGATGGGTGAGGGCGCCCCGAGGGGAGCGGGCTGAGGGCTGGGATTTCCTGGGCTTTCCACTGGTAACGGCCAGGACATGAAACACATTTGTATTTCGCTTGGAACTTTGTAAGAACGCTTGTCATGGAAATAAAGACGCTCTTCCCTTCCATTGCTGGGAGGCTGGTTTTGTGAGTGTGTGATAATTTCGGGGGGATTATTTAACAAATATACCTCAGGCGGCTGTCGGGGGCTGAGGGAGGCGTGTCCTTCCAGTACCCGAGGGCAGCTGCGAGCAAGGTGGAGAGGGACTTTTTGTAAGGGCAGGACGAGGGGGAATGGCTTCGAACAGGTTTAGATTAAATACTGGGAAGAAATTCTTCCCTGTGAGGGTGGTGAGGGGCCGGGACGGATTTCCCAGAGAAACTGTAGCTGCCCCATCGCTGGAAGTGTCCAAGGCCGGGTGGAGCACCCCGGGACAGCGGGAGGTGTCCCTGCCCGTGCAGGAGCGTGGGACTGGATGGGCTTTAAGGTCCTCCCACCCAAACTCGTCTGGGATTCTATGATACAATTCTGTGTCTCTTCTCCCTTGTTCTTTATTCTGATTCAGTGATTCCATCACGCACAGACAGTCCCAGGACGTGTTTGTTTGTAAGCTGATATATCACCCGGGTGGAAAGCGCAGTGTTGTAAATGCTTGTTATTTGTTATCAGATTTGGCTTCTGAAGCTTGGAATTGCTATTTGGAGTTTCAGCTTCATATTTTATATTAATTTGGCATCTTTAATAATCGTCTAATCGGCTGTGATTTTGCTCTGCACATAACAGTTAGTGTGTACAAAATGTTTGAAACGCTGGCGTTATGGAAGCGTTGGGAGCCTCTTATTTTTAACCGCGGCAGGCATTTGCGAAGGGTGGAATAAGACGGGCTTTACGGTCCCTTTGAACCCGAGCCATTCCCCAATTCCCCCGCACGCTCCGCGCCCGGAGCCGCCCGTGAGGGAGAGCGGGGGGAGGGCGGGGCGTGAGGGGGCGCGATGCACGCCGGGAGCTGTGGTCCGGGGCGGTGCGCGGTGGGCGCTGTGGTCTGTGGTTGTGGGCGGTGCGCGCCGGGAGCTGTGGTCCGGGGCGGGGCGCGGTGCGCGCCGGGAGTTGTAGTCCGCCCCTCCCTTTGTCCACGTCGGCCGTCTCGTCACGTGCCCGCCCCGCGCGCGCACGTGTCCCGCCCCGCTGCGCTCCCCCATTGGCCCGGCGGTCCCGGAAGCGGCGGCGGCGGCGCGAGGCGGTTTCCTTGGCTACGCCCCCGGGGCGCGCGCAGGGGCCGGGCAGGGCCGGGCCGGGCCCCGCGGGAGCGGCGGCAGCGCCATGGGCCGGGAACGGGACCGGGAGCGGCAGCGGGAGTAGCGGCACCGCCGCCACACGGCCCCCATGGCCCCCAGCGCACCGCCGCCCTGCCGCGCCGGGGAGCGCGCCGCCCGCTGCAGGCGGCCCTGGAGGCTCCTGGCCCTGGGCCTGCTCTCCGCCTCCTCCGTGCTGGCGGCCGCCCCGGGCGCCGGGGCTATGAGCAGGGAGGAGAAGCGCCGGCTGGGGTGAGCGGCGGGACGGGACACGGGGAGGGACGGTGGGCAGCGGGGCTGAGCCACCCCCGGGGCTGGGGCGGGCGCGGAGCCCCGGGAACGTGTCCCCTGTCGCCGAGCTCCGGGACACGCTGGCACCGGCCCCGCCGGCGCTGCTGCCGGTGTGCCGGACCCGCTGGGCTCCCGGGCCAGCCCCATCCCCGTGGCTGCTCGGGGGTCGCTCCGTGTGCTCCGGGAACCCGCAGCTCACAGCGCTTGGCACCTCGTCCAGGAGGGCTCAGCCGGCGGTTCCGTGGAATTAGGGGTAAAAGCGATCAAAGGTAACTCCAGCTCCGCTCTCGGTTGGTTTAATTGTGGCCCTGCCTCCGTGAGAGTGCGGGAGTCGTAAAAAAGGTAAATGTTTATCCATGTTCCTGCCGAGTTCCTGTGTGTGAGCTAAACTGTGCATGTACACGTCAGAACCTTGGTGTACTTTTTGGCTGAGGGGTAAAGGTTATGGCAAGCTGGAAATACATTTCCCTGCGTTAAGTGGGATTTCTGTAAAAGAAGTTTGTAATCGAGCATATCTCGATCTTGTTATGTTACTGGGGCAGTTTCATCATCCTCTGCTCAGTGGTACAGAATAGTGATGCAAAAAATCTGCTGGAGAAGCACTCTGGATCCTCTCCTGGCTAGTAATCATGGAATCCCTCAAGTTGGAAAAGGCCTCCAAGACCCTCGAGTCCAAACATCAGATATAAGTTGATATTTAACTCCGGTGTTTACAGTTACTGGAGTTTCCCACTTTGTGTTCTCAGGGCATTTTGTTTGTATAATCTTTTTGTGTTCTTTGCTCGTGTGGCTACAACAAGGAGTTTTAATTCCTTTCCCTGATGGGTTTTAAAGTTTTTGCATTAATATCTTGCACTTAAAACATAATCTGATGCCTCAGGGATGTGCAGGTCATGTCCTGCCATGGTTTGTATTTGGGATCACTTCTAAATAAAGTAATCTGTGTATTTATTTAATGACAGGGTCATGTCAGTCCCAGAAAATGCCCAGTAAATGTAAATTTTAAGCAGCTTTGTGTGCTTAGTTCATCTGGGGCTTTGTCTGCTGCTGCAGATCCCAGATCCTGTGAAGTACCTGAAAAAAGCACCATCCTCTGCTCTTTTGATGACTTAATGCGCTCGATGAGTTAAAGCTACTTCTCAAATTTCCAAGTCCTTGAACTAAATTGGATATTTACAGTATAACTGTGGTGGTCTTGGCTCGTTTATGTTCAGTCTTATCAGCAGAGATTGTGAATTATGTTGATGGTAGAATTAGCATCCTCTTTTGCTTGCAGGGCTCCTGAGTAAAACAGTTAGGAGTGACTGGAAGTAAAGCTGTCTCTCAAAAAAACAATGTGCTTTTTGGATTTTTTTTTTAATATATAGTAGCATTTCTCACCTTGACTGCTTTTCAGACTGGTAAAATAAATGCAACTACAAGAGTTTTCCTTAGTATTTGCTTGCCAGGAAATCCCCAAATATTTAATTTCATGTTAGGTGAAGAAAGAGGCTTTCCACAGTGACCAAAAATAGTTAAATTAGGAAAAATCACTATTCTGTATCTCATTTACTTGAGTAGAGTGTGTTTGTAAAGGACCTGTTACTGATATTCAGATACTAAAGTGTGATTCATCTAAGATGGTGCATTAAAGGCCGTTGGGAGACAGACCACTAACACTTGTGTTTTTTTCTTTTTTAGAAATCAAGTGCTTGAAATGTTTGATCATGCATATAGCAATTATATGGTGAGTAAAATACTTGTTTGATGTTTGTCAGAGGAGTTGTTGCTGACCTGGGAGAGAAATCAGCCTACAGTACATGACATTCTAGAAAAGTATCCGGGAGGGAGGGGTGAAAACAAAGCTAAAATAAATAACAGCACCTGTACAGGCTTTAAAAAGACATGAACAAATGTTACTTTCAGGAAGAGCAGTGTCAGGAGGGTTATGGTGGCTTTTGGAGGGGTAACTCAGAATTGCCTGTGGTAACTCTCCTGATCTCTGCTCTGATCTCTTGGGAAGATCTCTGATCTTTCCCAAAACACTTTATCTTATGTTTCCAACAGTTCTCATCTTCAGTAAAGTGTTTGGTTTGAAATTCCAGACTCCTAAAACTGGTAGGAAAAGGAAGCTCAAGAAGAGCTGTTTGTAGCCATCAGATTGTGGAGAACTATCTGATCTCCCTTACTTTGTAGGTAAAAATGCCGTGTAATGTTTCTTGATCGGTCAGACGTGTCAGGTGCAGTTTGGTGACCCTTTTACAACCCCCAGAAAGGGGATGTGGTGTCATATGCAGGCATTCCAGACTCTGCTGAGGATGTGAGTGTCATATGACCATAAGTCACGCTCACTATGGTTTATTTTGCTATGACTTGTGATTTTCTGTGCAGGTGTCCCTGTGTTCTAGATCTGTGAGCCATTCTAACCCACCTTGAAATATAGTCAGCTTGGTTTAGATCTGCTAAAGAATAAAGAGTTACTGAGAGTGGACTTGCCTCAAGCAATAGTCCATTATACTCTAAATAACACACTTCTGAGGAGAAACTGCAGGTGTGACTCAGATAAATATAAAAGATGCATTTTGACTGACCTTCCACTGACAATCTTGCACATTCTTTGTGGGTGTTGCAGAAACCCCTCAGGTTGCACCAGTTCCTGCAGCACAAACCGCTGTCTCCTGGCAGCATCTTGCCACATGTCCCAGTTTCTGTGTCGTGGTTTAACACTTTGATATGTAATACCAGCTGAAAAGCTTGGGAATTACAAGTTTATACAGCAGGTGAGAGGTCCAGGGCCCTGGAATGGGTAGAAGGGATGTAGTTTCTCTTTGTATCGTCAGCTCTCTACTTTTGCCACCTCTGGCAGTTTAACCAAACATCAGGCTTTTTGAGGATAATTTGGAACTGGTTACCTGGGACCTGATTCCATGAAAAACACTTGGCTTGGGTTTCCCCAAGGAAAAAGTCGTGCATTTGGCAAGATTGCTTAAAATACTACAAGGATCTGTGCTCCTGCTGTTCACTGGGTGATAAACAGGCAGCTCATACAGTTCTTGCTACATCTGAAGCAAGAAAATTCGGGTTGAAAGAGAGGAACAACTTCAGCTATCCTGGAAACTTTGGAGCCAAAAGGATGTGGACTTGCCACGTATACTGGAGCACAAAACAAACAGAGAAATGTGACTTGTTTGTTTAAAGCTGAAGAAAAGATTAGGGTGTCAGACCTGACTCTTGACAGCAAGAGAATTAAGTACTTTTGCAGGTGCTTTTGAAAGAGCCAGCTGAAAAGTTTTGATTTTCTGTTTCTGTTAATATGGATTTCAGATATGTGTGTTTAGAAGACTGAAAATTCATGTTTGCTTGCAAGGGAAACTCCCTTTTTTTTTTTTCTTTAGTTATTAACAGAAACCTTGCGTAAAAAGCTGCTGTTTTTTTTTTCCCAGTCCTTCAACAATATTTGTAATAATCAGGATGTTTTTTTCTTCTTGGCTGTCCGAAAGAACATGTGAAAATGTCAGTTATTTGAGGCCAGGGACAAGCTGGGAAACCATTTGATCCAGTAACCTTTCCTGATCTATGCAGGGAATAAGTGAACTTTTATTTTTTAAAATGCTTCCAGTTCCTTATGATTTTGCAAAACTAAAAGTCCATTTTCTCCAGAATTTTTATAACTCCTCTCTCCATAATTTAAGAAGTTTTGACTTTGCTTTTGTCGTGTACTTCTTTTATCTGTTTTGCTGAATAC